CCTCTATTGACAATATAACTCTTAATTGACGCTTGGCTACACAATGGATAGTCAATTATACATATCTAGGACAGATAGCTCTTCCTGGTTGATGACACTTTCTTTCTCTTTTGTTTGTTGTTTTATCTTTCTCTCTCCATAGCACATTTATTTGTGCTAACTATTAACTATTTCTCTCTCCAGCGCACTAATTAGAAAACGTAAAAACGATCTGTTAAAGAATAGTGAACGTGTCCATAATCATTTATTTTCGTGGAAAGGTTTATCATAGGCGTTAGAATTACGAAACCGAGCAGGAAGTGAGTAAATGTGCACCTGATTATTACTGATATATGAGGAAGTGATGGAAATAAAGGCTTAAATGGAATTTTCAGGACGCTGAGTGTGGTGGAAAGGTTCAGGAAATGATAACATTGGAAGAATTTATTTTGCAGTTACTGCCTCTCCTTATCCAGTCACTATATATAAATACACACACACACACACACACGCACGCACGCACACACACACACACACACACACACACACACACACACACACACACACACACACACACACACACACATATATATATATATATATATATATATATATATATATATATATATATATATATATATATATATCAGTCTTTATCTACTAATACTAGCAATTATTTCAAGTCATGTAGGCGGAGGTGAGGTTTGAATGACTTTCATGTGTTATTTGATTGACTCCCATAAACCACTTGATTAACCTCCACATTCCTACCATGGTATGTCATTATTGTTATTCCTATAATGGTGATGTTGACCATTTTAATGGTAAATAATAATAATACAATAATGATAATGATAATAAAAGATAAAAGTAATAACAATGACAATGACGTTGATGATAAATAATACATTCATAGTGTGGTTGTACTTATTATTCTTGTTTCTATAATTCAAATGATAATAATAACAGTAGTAGTAATAATGATCATAATAATAATAACAACAATGATAACAATAATCATTATCTTTATTATTACTGTCTTTATCTTTGCCATTACTATCATATATTTTGAATATCATTGATATGGAAAACAAAAAAATGGTAATATTTTGGTATCTTATTCATTTGGTTTAAGTACCCTTAGTGAGTACGAGCATAAACTAAATCCGCCTTTCCTATTTGACGATAGTACTCCTTTAATAGGTAGTCACGACTTAATCTCAGTTATGCTAGCTGTTCCGCATACTTGGTATAATAAATTAATTCTGATATCCCTGCACCAAAAAGTTGGCACTAATGATTTCCCGTTTCCTGTCAGAGAAATTAAGGGTGTTCATTTTCCGCTTTCTTTGGTTTCCTTATGTCACGGGAAAAACAATGTGCTCTATAGGCGGTAAGTCAGTGCAACTGCCTTTATTCATTATCATGGGTGTTCTGCGGATCATCTTCAGTTTTTTTGCCTTAAAGGAAATCCTCCTGGAATACTAGTATGTCTGAAAACTCTTTCAAGAATAATATCGGAGAGAGTGACGTAAGAAGCTGCAGGATAAGGGAAGAATCCTGTGTTTGGGTGAAGTGAACAGGAGACAGAGAGGTTGTGGTAAACTATAGTGCATCGTCAGATATATTTCTCACTCCGATGTGCGTAAATTTTGTATCAAGTAAAAATACTTTTGTCTATCTTTTGCTCCCTCTGTGCCTCTCTCTCTCTCTCTTCTTTCCTTTCCCTCCGCTCTCTTTTTCTCCCAGTCCTACCTCGTTCCCTCTTGCTCTCCTTCTTTCCTTTCGCTTTCTCTCTATCAGTCTGTGTCTATGTATCTCTCTCTCTCGCTTCCCCCCCCTCTCTCTCTCTCTCTCTTTCTCTCTCACACACACACACACACACACACACACACACACACACACACACACACACACACACACGCACACACACACACACACGCACGCACACACACACACACACACATAAACACACGCACACACACATATATATAGGTCGAGATCGATATTGATTCAACATTTAGAAGGTACATTGGTTATAATTGTAAAGAAATATGGAGCACGTACAATTGCCAGACCCCACCGAAATAGATATTTACATATTTTTATTTTGAAGGCACATCAATAGTATGTCCAGTGCCAGGTATTAGAAGTTTTGTTTTACCCAGAAATCGAACATTGTAATGATGGTAAATGACAGTCCTGCTTAACAAGCTCTGAGAAAATATCAGATCATGTTGGGGTTCATAAACGGGTTGTGTTTTTTGAGTAACTGTACCAGGTAGATCTTCCAGCGGTTAGTCTGGAAGCAAGTGGTGTCACAATCCCTGTGTGGTACACATCCATCAGTGAGGAACCTCCTACCCTAACTGAGGCTAACTCTGAGCTGAAGAGTGGGAAAGCTGCAGGTATGTGTGATATGCCTGCTGAACTGCTAAAGGCTGGTGGTGAACCTATGACATGGGCTTGCTTTCGGTCTTGACTGCCATCTAGCAGTCTGGTTCCATTCCCCAGATTCTTTGGAAGGGGAAAGGGGATCAATGGGACTTAAGCAACTACTGTGGTATTACACTGCTCAGTAAAGCAGGCAAAGATTTCGCCCATATTCTTCTGAAATGGATCCGTGAGCACCAACTAAGGCCCCTGCAGTCTGGATTTACTCCTGGCAAGTCCACATTGGAGACGTCGTGAAACGTCGTGGGCTGCTTGCAGTTTACATCGACCATAAGAAGACTGACTCCATTGCAAATGGCTATGGGAGATCCTGCGAATTCTGACATGGATTACTGAGTTAAGAGCATACACTAGTACTGAAAATGTGTAAAGTGTGGCGGTGGCCTGTTGAACTTCCTCCCTGTTAACTCAGGAGAGTGACAAGGCTGTGCACCAACACTTTTCAACACTTGCATAAACTGGATAATGGACAGAGCTACTATCCAAAGTCAATGTAGAGCAACACTGGGCAATATCAAGGTCACGGACTTTTACTTTGCTGACGATGTTGCTATCTTTTCTGAGTGTTTGGAATCTCTGGTGATGCTCTTGATGTATTCAGCAATGAGGAGAAGTCTTTGGGCTTAAAGGTCTCTTGGACCAAGACCAAGATCCAGGAAGACAGTAGATGGATTGGTCTGGCCGTAGGAGACATGAACTCGGTCAACAAGACTATTTGGAGATGTCGGTAGTTATGCAGAAGGACCAAGCCACGTGCCTTTAAGGCCTTGATACTTTCCAGTTTTGATCTATGGAAGCAAAACTGGGATGCTATTTAGTGCCTTGGAGTATTGTCTTGATGCCTTTCGTAACAAGTCCCTATGCCAGATTGTGGGGTACCAACACCATGAGACCGTCATGGGACATGTTATTTGCATAATCTGGGACCACCAACTTAGATTATATGGGCTCCTACCTCATTGCCCTATAGGTGACTCTACCGATCAGGTTGTCTCTTCACGAGAAAATCCTGGGTGGAGGAGGCTCGAGGGATGAAATGGGCCTGGAGGCTCGCCATGATGGACCCCGTGGCTGGAAGTGAAGGGTGGATGGAGCTATGCGCCCCCTTGGATTGATTGCATGCTAGATAGGTGAACTAATATATAATTGAATTTATATATTGAATCCATATGAATTGAATTGTGATAAGACGGGTCTTTGTTTTTCTCCTGCTCACAGAGAGAGAAAGAGGTTGGGGAAAATTTGTGGTGAGCACCACACACCATGATTCAACAGCCCAGTGTCTGTAGATTTTGTGTCTCTGTCTCTTAATTTGTTTGCAGCATTAGTCAAAGGAGACAAATCCGTTTTACCAAGGAATGAATTTGGAAAGAAACAACAGATCGAAGTAAAGCGTAGGAAAGGGAAATCGTAAAAGTTTGAAGTGAAAGATAGATGACTTAATTGTCCAAGCAAATAACCCAAAAACAACGGGGAGTTATGCGTGTGTGAGCTTCGATCTTGTCTCACTTTTGTTCTTATTATATGTATCTTTATCATTATTATTGATTTATAATTAATAGGCAAATAGAAGGTATAGAGTTAACCTTAGAATATAATCAAGTTAGTAGAAGAGAATATTCCTTGTTTTTCTTATAATGTTTACTACTAAGCTTTACGTTATGGCATGCCCCCGGTTCATTTTTATATGGTTATGGAATTTTATCTTCGGCACACGCTTAACAGAGGAATAAATTTGAGTCACCCCAGAGCCTTCAGACCGTGAAGTCATGACACTAACATTAAAAATAATCTAATTTGGGTTTTCTCGGGGTTTTCTATAAACCCTAAGTCCCCGGGTGGTGGCAGCGATATGAAGTAACTCCATAACCATTTGTATAAGAATTGATATGGGAAGCAGTAATTTAGTAAGAATAAATTATTCTTTTGCATATGAAAAAAGTAAATCAGAATTTGGTGACAGTTTCACCAGGGACAAAAAATTCTCATATTCATGGATTCATGGGATAAAATTTATATTTTCTCTCACACACACGCACACATAGATGTGTATGTATGTATATAATGCCCCCCTCTCTCAGCATACATTAATATACTTTAAAGATGTTTAGTGTGTTATCATTCGTTTTAAGCGTTGCTTCCCGTGTGGACCAACCGGAAAGGTTTGACACTGACGAACGTTTTGAGGGGATACGGGGGCAAGTTTAAACAGCTGTTGCTTATAGCTCAGAAATTGTTGTTCTACTGTATACTTTAATTCTCGGCAGGCATTTCTATATATATATGTATTATCATTGTGATTTGTGGATTCCTTTAAATAGCATTCGTCTTTCTTGTCGTTTGTTTATCGTTATGATCTGTAAACTTTTAATTTCTTCCCTTTCATTTTTTTTCCAGGAATTTACTTAAATATCAGCCAGCCTCTCAATTTCCTATATCATAGATAATATAGACATTCGGAATTTATCTAATTAAAGAGATCTATATATCAATAGTTTACAGCTGCGTTTTGAGAGGCTCAAAGTGAACGAGTCTGTATCTATGAAGGAAAGAGGCTGGCATATGAG